AATAATATAAATTAAAAACACTGGAATATAATAATGTATGCATTAATTTCATCCCAGCTGGTAAATGTAGAACTTATTTTAATTACTTTACATATCATTCTGCTGTATATTTAAACCTATAATTATGTGTTAACATGTTTATGTATTAGTTGATTTATATGTGTTATCAGCTAATAACTTGAGTCTAACTCAAGTTAAAGGATACATGTAAATGATAAACCAGATAAATGTAGTAGAACAAAAGTACAGAACATGTAGTAGAGAAGAATAATAAAGTGGCATAACATTTAAATAAGTAAAGAACAAGTAACTCAAAATTGTACTTTAGTTGAGTACTTGAGTAAATGTACTTTGTTATATTCCACCACATCGTGTACAAACATACACATATAGTGCACAGGTACATGCACGCTCAAAGACACACACACAAAAGAGATATATCAGTGTTCAGGGCTTGTACACACTGAAGAAGGATAGACACACACACACAGACACAGCACAGGGATAATGGGAGAGGTGAGAGGTCTGAAATTGAGCTGAGGCACACTGGGACCTGAACACTGTGGCCTTGTGTCACTTTAACCCCCCCACAACAGACCGTGAGATAGAAAACAACCCTGGAGAGCAGCAGCAACACCTTCATTACTCTCTGTGTCTCCGCTAGGTTTTCTGAGATCCTGTTAGTCTCTCCCTCTCGTTGTTCACCACTTCTTCATTCTCTCTGTTCTTATCTTTCCAACTTTTCTTCTTCTCTAACAGCTTGTAACAGCTTTTACAATTTGATCTGTAGCTTCACAATGTGGAGCAGAGCACTGACGGCATCATTTATCTTTCCCCTACATCTTCAGGAAGACACACACTGACAAACACACACATATTAAAGTCTTATAAACTCCTTAGTGTGTGAGGATATAATAGTTTTGATATAACAGTTGAAAGTCTACACATGTCACTGGAAAAAAACGGATTATTAAGTCTTAAAAGTTTTAGGCTTTGGGATACACAAACAAATATAATGAACATCAACAATGTTCACATTTATGCGTTAAACAAATATTCACAAAACCTAGGAAGCATCTGCCGTCTTCTCTTGCACAACATTGAACACATTACTTTCAAAAAATGAGTTATTTCAAGTAAGGAAAAACATTTTCTTTCATTTTTACCCCCACTGGTATCTAGCCAGGCAGATGATGAGATTTTATTTCAAGAGTTTGACAGTGACAGTTCAGCGGAGTTAAATTTAGTTTGTGACATGTAAATAATTGAAAAGAGAAATTTGAAAAACTCAAAAAGCTCAAAAGGAAACTCTTTCCTATCTGCATATCAAGAGGGCTTAGATGGGAATACGTGTGTTGGGTGAACTAACTCTTTTGATTTTGACTCGACTCTTTTCTGGTGTCATGATTGACACAAGTACCATTGCTAACTATTTTGTGGATTATTTTTAATAATGTGTCATTTAATTATATATATGGCTAGCAAAATGTATGAATTTACTCAACATCAGAACACATCAGTTTGAATTTTGGACAGTTTACATTAACTTTTAGTATTGATCTTCTAGTGACAATAACCTATTGGTTTATCCTCTCAATTCCATCCACAAACAGTTGCAAAGCAAGAGTTATATCAGCACTGCAGCGCTCTGACTCATCCCAGCACAACACTCACCGACATTAGGACTTTCCCTTCGATGTAATATTTATTGCAAGCTATTAGTGGACTGAATTCGATTTATACAGGTGTTTGTGATATTGAGTTATTATGTATAATCATCTTGTCCTGTACCCCGGGCCCCATGGCAGTTCCTGTTCTGATCCATTAGAGTGCTGACAACAAAAGGCAGAGAGGTTTGTAACAGAAAACTAGCCTGGATTTGACCTTCCAAGCGCTTATTTAATTGCATCGAAGCAATGCACCTGGCACTGCAAGCTGTGGTTAGAAATTAGAATATATATCAAAGTGGTGCACGACTGTAGGTCCTCTGAGGTGAGGAACTATTGTAGTGCAGAAAACATACAGACATTTACAAGAGCTTTGAGGATGTTAGGTTTAAAATGTTATACTGTTGAAATAAATAACATTTAGAATAGTGCGAGTGTTGACTCAGTCTCTCGTTGACTGGCAGGAGATTTATATTTGACTTGTCAGACAGCAACCAGAGAATTCTGCCTCAAAAGAAATTTGGAAAGATTACTATTTTCCAAGCGGGTATTCTAAGTGATTACAAACGGAACAATTACCTGAGCACCTGGGAGCCTTTGCTTTGATATGTTGCTTGCGCACACACATGCACACAATGTAGCACCTTGCACACACACTTATTGGAGAACATACCAAAACCTGTTTGTAACATCTTCAGAATAGCTTTGAAATGCCTTTGAGAGACACTCAATAGCTTGAGATAAGCATGCATACAGCTTGAGAGAAGCTCTGCAAAGCGAGCGGGGTGAGGTCTAATCCAGAGCTGCTGCTGCTGCTGCTGCTGCTGGGTGATGGAGGGCCGGCTCAAAGACAGGCGGCCGCGGACATGGAGGTTTTTTTCTAAACCAGTTTCAGTCCTCTGTGGATTTGCTGTTATTGTCTGTACTGTACGTAGGAGAACAGATGTTGTTGTACGGGATCAAGAGCTCCTTCTGTACTTGGGACATACTCGTAAAAAACAGAAAGTCTGTGCAGAGCAATCCACAAAAGTTTGAATTTCACCTTTTGTCAAATAATGCTTGGGATTATCTGTTCTGGATTTAACAAAGGATGACTGACATGTTTGACCATACAAAGAGCTAATGTGGCTACGAGGTAAAGGTGTATCGATTAACGCTATACTGGATGTACTCTACAACCCTTCCCATACTATTTTCGGTCAAAATTGACCGGTGTGTTTTGCACAGTGATATCTCTGGAACCCCTTATCCAATTTTGATGGTTGACATCTCATTTGAACAGTCAAAGCAAGTCGAATCAAGGGGTGACAGACAGAATGACACCAGGGGTGAATTTAATGTTATAATTGTGCAGTAAGTTCAAAGATAGTGCTTACTGTACATGACTGTATATTATATAAATGCTTGCCATGTAGGCTGTGTTTACTGGAGATGGAAATGCTTTAGTTGGTGTTGTAGCTGAGATTCTTCCCGTTCCAATGATGTATAGGATGTATTGATTAGATACAAGCAAGTCAGTGTTTCATTGTGTACTTTCAAACTACAGTATATGGTCCGGATCCACCGGTGGGCCCATCAAGTTCAGCATTCACTGCATTCACTGTGATGAATATAAAATAAGACACTGATACTGTTTTCCTCAATGAACATTTAGAGAAAAATAAATATTCAGGGCTCTTCTCCCTCAGGGGCCTCTCCCTCAGGGGCCTCTCCCTCAGGGGCCTCTTCCTGGTCTGTTGACTGTTGGTCAGGCTCATAGTCTGGATCGCTGTTGTCTTCCATTTCTGAGACATGTCTGGTTCAATCTCCTCTTCATCTGGTTCAAAACATTTGTCCAGAGCCTCTCTGACAGAAAACCGCCTACTCATTGTGTCAATGAGACAAATGTGAGCAAGGCACAAATATAACTGCATGAGAGACAGTAATGGAGGGGCACAGAGCTCGCACCTGTGAGAAGGTATGATACATTGTATCACACAGCGCGAGAAAGTGAGAGGTTCCCGTAACTTAGAGCACATTGTTT